TTATATCTGTACAGATGTTCAGTGTGAAAGTAATAAAGTTACTGAGAGATTCAGAGGCAGACTGAAGCTGGATCATCACACTGGATCTCTGACCATCATGAACATCACAGACACACACTCTGGAGAATACACACTAGAGATCATCAACAACAGCGACAGCATCAATGGCGACAACACTGAAACAATCTTCAAAGTTTCTGTTCATGGTGAGTCATTATGTCTGAAAGCATGTTATGTTTAAACCATATCATTGTGTTTTTATAATAGTGACATTCAGAGCTTTTCTCTTTATCTGCATCACTGAACACGAACCGAATTATTTTCAGCTGTTTTGTTTTTCCACTGATGATCCAGTAGTTTTTAAGTTTATTTTGTTCTGTTCATTCCAGTTCTTTTCATCTGTTTAAATGCATCTATTATTTCACACTCATTGTTTTTAGTTCACAATAAAGTGCAAAGAAATTGTAAATGTGTAAAATCTTGTAGTTTATCTCATATAATGATTATAAGTTTTTGCAAATCGTTATAAATACTTTAGATTTATAATGTGTTTATTTTGGAATAATATAATGTAGAAATGTATATTTCAATGTAATGCATTGTTCTAAAACATGTACGTGTGTAAAACCAACGCTATCTCACGACCAATTCGTACGAATTTGTACGAGTGATTAAAAGCTGGCTAATTCGTACGAATTTGTACGATTTGTCTTAACCCACGTGATGGGTAGGTTTAGGGGCGGGGTCAGAGGTAGGTCATTCGTACGAATTCATACGAATTGGGCAACTCGTAAAATATGTTCGATTTAACAAAAAACTTACTAATTCGTACGAGTGAAGTCATGTGAATACGTACGAATTAGCCATCTCGTAAAATTCGTACGAATTGCCGTGGGTCTGTAAAAAAATAAAAATCTAAACGAATAAAAAATTAGTCAATTCACCTTTATTTATATAGTGCTTTTTACAGAACAAATTGTTTCAAAGCAGCTTTACAGAGATAACAGGAAAATAATGTTGTAATAGTATTGTTAAATTCAAAATTATATGTCCTCAACTAAGCAAGCCAAAAGCCAATGGCGACAAAGGCGAAGAAAGGCGAAAAGGCGACAGTGGCAAGGAACCAAAACTCCATCAGTGACAGAATGGAGAAAGAAAGCTTGGGAGAACCCAGGCTCAGTCAGGGGGGCAGTTCAACAAACGAACAGTGTATGGTTATGATTTAGGCAGCATAATAGGTCAGAAGTCAGATGGGATCATAACTTTCACGATAATTATCCAGTTCATCTGGTTAGGGGTCGGAGTCATCACGCCGGTGTGGAGATGAGGTTGTTGAGGTGTCCATGAGGCCTTCACAGTGTTGATGAGGCTGGCACTTCAGGGATGCATTGTCGTCGTATCATGTGATGGTCCTTCATCAGATCCGGATACGGCGGTTTGCGGTAAACCTCGGGATAAACAGAGAGACTAAGGGCCGATCTCATTTCTCTGTCCCCTTTGTCTGCGTCTTCCCCTTGCCCCTCGATACCGAGTGAAAGGGGGTAGGGGTGAGAACGTTCCTCTGAGAAATGAGACACCACTCGATTACCGTTTGCGTCATCTTCCCTTGCCGCTAGCTGGCTGCTACGTCAACAGAGGCGACAAGCGTTGACATAAACAAACGAAGATTTACATTACACACATTTATTGCTCAACAGTAATAAATATTACAACATGTACATATAACAATAATACATATTCAAATATAAACTCTTAAAACATTAATATATGAAATTAATAGGGCCTAAACAGTTGTGCAATTGAACAGGTAATTTTTAAAACAATAATACATATTCAAATGTAAACAATATAAACTCTTAAAACATTAATATATAAAATTCATATGTAAACAGTTGTGCAATTGAACAAGTAATTATTTTCACATATTTTCAATCATTCTTTCAAAGAGGTCTAAAAACCTCTGTGACTTCGCCTCACTCTCTTCGTGGCGCATTTGCTCCTGAAGGGTCTCCTCGATCAGGAACTCCATGATAGGATTGGACCTCCTCCTAGATGTCGTGGCACTTGTTGCTGCGGGGGTACTGGTTATCATTCTACTGGGTCCTGTGTCAGGGGTCCAGGATGCTGCTGTGGTGCATGGCTCTGAGGTGGAGGGCTCCACAATATCCTAAAGAAACAAGGCAAATCATGTTACTTTTTTAGCCTGGCTAACGCCAGACCACGTATCATTGAGAATGATACGTGGTCTGGGAACCACATGTTCATTTTCTCGTATTTGAGGTGTGGTTTACGAATGCCCAGAGCCGTTTATTGGGTGCTACGAATGTCTATCAAATGCGCCTGTACGTAGCTCATAGCCAATCATTTCAATTATACCAGATGACGTAGAAGACGACGATGGGTCAGAGATTTATGTGTACACGAAACTACCATGAAACTACTTAGAACACTATCTAATTAAGGCTGCATCGAAAGGTAACTTTGCGTCTGCTGCCATGTTGGATCCATAGATATAAACAAACTGCTTCGGTGTGTCGTCATCGTCTTGCTGCTCCCTCCCCGTTCTGTGATTGGTTCCCTAGATGAGGCGAAAATCTGGACCATGGTATCCAGACTGCCTTGCAGCGTGAATAAAATTGCGATGGGCAAAGGCAGTATGGGGAAACCCAGGCTATTACTTTTTAGAAATTCTCAGCAAATATCTCCTCATGTTCTCAGGAAATATCTCCTCATGAAATTTAAAGAGAATGTTTATGAATCTGATGTTAGTGGAATTCATGAAAGTACTGAATTACATGGTAAATGATTAGCCTCACCATGAGGATTGTCATGGGATCCTCTGCTCCTGGTTGGAATGATGCCACCACCACAGGGGGGTCCATCGCAGGCCGGGCACCCAAAACCTTGTGCATGTCTCTATAGTACTGCCATGTAGCAACACTGACCTCACCCTGGTCTGTCCCTGAGCCGGTTTTTGGAGTCCTCAATTCCTGACACACACACACACACATACAATAAACAACCGGCTAGTTGATACATTCATTAGGCAATTGGAAATTATTTTAAACTTGACATCATATACCTTGTATTTTTGTTTTAAATTCTCCCATTTTTTGGAAGCCTGCTGTCCAGTCACCTTGCCCTCTAGGCCAATCTCTTTCACAAATTTCCTGCATCACAACCGACAGCTCAAACATTCAGCATTTTAAGCACAACACAGAAATTAAAATTCAGAAAAACAGACGCAAGAATATGATTGAACGATGAATTACTCACTCCCATTGTTGTTTTGCCATTGTTTTGGACTTCATGAAGTCTTTTACATTATCTGCCCTGAAGCAGATGAGTCGCCGAGTCTCCTCAGGTGTCCCTGAGGGAAAAGGAAAATATACGTTACTGATAACTTGCTAGGTGAATCACGTAGGGTAAGATAGCTCTACCAATATCAAACCAGTCCACCGGTAAAATCAGTCAAGGAATAGTAATGTCAAGCAAATTCACTTCACACTGATTTCACCTAAAAACCATAATATGAAGTGTCATATCAAGGATTATCAGATAGCTCAGCTCGACAAATAGCGCATAGCTGCTAGCTAGCGGTTTACTACCGATTCATTCAAAACATAAACATTGCAATTAAAACCGCTTGAACATTTTATTAAAAGTATCATGAAACACGAGTGTCATAATTATATTATCAATTAAACTGCTGAAAATACTTACATATGTGCGACTCCTTGACAGTTCGACGTTCAGCCATGGAAAAAATTTGATGCCGGCACTTTTGAGAAATTCCTATGTTGTTACCCCTCTTATTCAAGTGTGGTCCTCCGCAAACTTCGTTTCAAGGGCTATGTAGCCCTACGCCTTGGCCCTAGCCCTTAATCAAAATGAGAATTGAGACACCACTTCCCCTCACATGAACGCGCTAAACCGAGGGGGAGGTGTAAGGGTAAGAGGTAAGACAGAGAAACGAGACGCAGCCTATTAGCGTAGACGCCATCCTTCATATGATGTACAAAGTACATCAGGATTTATGCGAAGTGTTCCCGGTTCCAGCTGATCTAAACTATGCAGCCTAACATTGAATTATAGAAGTCTATAATGTGTTATGTGTATGCTAAGCCAAAAAGATGTGTTTTTAGTCTAGATTTGAACTGGCAGAGTGTGTCTGCTTCCCGGACAATGTTAGGAAGATTATTCCAAAGTTTTGCTGCTAAATAGGAAAAGGATCTACGGCCAGCAGTCGATTTTGATATTCTAGGTATTATCAACTGGCCGGAATTTTGAGATCGCAATAGACGTGAAGGACTATAATGCATTAAGAGCTCGCTCAAGTACTGCGGAGCTAAACCATTTAGTGCTTTGTAAGTAATCAGCAATATTTTTAAATTTATACGATGTTAAATAGGCAGCCAATGCAGTGTTGACAGAACCGGGTTAATATGGTCATACTTACTGGTTCTGGTAAGAACTCGAGCTGCTGCGTTTTGGACCAGCTGTAGTTTGTTTATTAAGCGTGCAGGGCAACCACCCATAAGAGCATTACAATAATCTAGCCTTGAGGTCATGAACGCATGAACTAATTGTTCCGCATTTGTCAGTGAGAGCATGACGTAATTTAGATATATTTTTAAGATGAAAAATGCGGTTTTACAGATACTAGACACGTGACTTTCAAATGAAAGATTGGTCTCTCAGAGCACACCCAGGTTCCTAACCGACGACGAAGACTTGACAGAGCAGCCATCAAGTGTTAGACAGTATTCTAGGTTATTACGTGAGGAAGTTTTTTGTCCAATAATTAGGATCTCTGTTTTTTCAGAAATTAGTAGTACATTTCTGGTCATCCAATTTTTTATATCAGCTATGCATTCCGTTAATTTTGTGAATTTGTAAGTTTCGTTAGGTTTTGAAGAAATATACAGCTGAGTATCATCGACATAACAGCGAAAGCTAATTCCATGTTTCCAAATGATATCTCCTAAGGGTAGCATGTACAGGGTGAACAGCAGCGGTCCTAGTACTGAGCCTTGTGGTACGCCATCCTGAACTTGTGATCGATAAGACATCTCTTCATTTACTGCTACAAACTGATAACGGTCAGATAAATATGATTTAATCCATGCTAGTGCAATTCCACTAATGCCAACATAGTTTTCTAGTCTATTCAAAAGAATGTTGTGGTCAATGGTGTTAAATGCAGCGTTAAGATCGAGTAACACTAATAGAGAGATACAACCACGATCGGATGATAAGAGCAAATCATTTGTGACTCTAATGAGAGCTGTCTCAGTGCTATGGTACGGTCTAAATCCTGATGGAAAATCCTCGCAGATATCATTTCTTTCTAGAAAGGAACACAGTTGTGAGGAGACTGCTTTTACGAATATCTTTGACAGAAAAGGCAGATTCAAGATCGGCCTGTAATTGACTAATTTTGTATGATCAAGTTGCGTTTTTTTAACAAGCAGTTTAATCATTGCCAGCTTAAAGGTTTTTGGTATCCTAGAGACAAAGACGAATTAATGATATTAAGAAGAGGATCTATGAAATTTGGAAGCATCTCTTTCAGTAGTTTAGTCGGTATAGGCAGGGGTAGGCAAGTTCGGTCCTACAGAGCCGCTGTCCTGCAGAATTTAGTTCCAACCCTAATCAAACACACCTGAACAAGCTAATCAATGTCTTCAGGATTACTAAGGCTATAGCCAGGTGAGGTTTTTTTCAGTGTTGGAGCCAAACTCTAGGACCGAACTTGCCTACCCCTGGAGGGTCTAACATACAAGTTGTCGATTTAGATGAATTAACGAGTTTGCAAAATTCACCCTCTCCTATAGCAACAAATGATATTAAGTATTAATAACAAGATAATTCTTGTTGTGGAGTTTTTTTCCTCAAAAGATCCTCCAGCATCTGTTGGTTTGTGTTTCAGGTGTTTCTGCTGCTGAACGAGATAAAATAAGGAGAAAGTCAGTGAAGGAGGGAGAACCTGTTACTTTAAATCCTGGTGTAAGAAACCCCGATGATTTGATGAGATGGTATTTTAAAGACACTCTCATCGCTGAAATCACTGGAGATCAGAGTAAGATCTGTACAGATGAACAGTGTAAAGAGAGATTCAGAGACAGACTGAAGCTAGATCAAGGATCTCTGATCATCACTAACACCAGAAACACACATTCTGGAGAATATAAACTGAAGATCAGCAGCTGCAGATTCTGCGTCATTCGGAGCTTCAGTGTTTCTGTCACTGCATGTGAGTATCATTTAGTCATTACAGTATAAGAATACATCATTTTAAGTTTTATTTCATAACAAATGCTTTGATTTGAGTGACAATTTAAAGGAAACCTGTGTGAACAAAGACTCTTGTGTTTCAGATTCGCCTGTGTATGCGTGCATGTGCATGTGCATGTGCGTGTGTCTGTGTGTGTTGTGTGTGTGTGTTTGTGTGTATATGTGATTATCTCGTTATTTCAAAGGAGACCACGTGAAAAAGAAGGATTAGGTAAAGCATTTCACTTTTATGTCTTTGTAGAATTCTTATGAGATTCTCAGTAGAGTGCAACAAAACTCCATTCATTTTATCCGTAGGGAAATTTATTTTTACTGATAACTTATAAACCTTTAAAATACAGCCCTACTGTGAGCTACGAGGTTATTAATCGATAATATTTGCTTTTGTTGAAGCCGTCAGTCTGCATTATTTCAACTTATTTACAAAATAATCATGTTTAACTGTGAAATTTGTTATGGAAAACTACATTACCCATGATGCTGTACAGAACATTCCACCAATCAGGGAGTGGAAACAAGCCAAATGTGCCAAAAGATCCGCCCACTTATATGAAGCAATTTCTGTAATCGAGTCGATCTCCATACGCTCTCAAAATACTAAAATACACTCTCAATATTTGCATATACTGTATATATAATATTCTGCTCTTATTTACTGTAGTTACTTCAATATTATTAAATTCAACATTAACCTACTTATCATCTTGATATATTCATAGAACAAATGATGTGATATTTAGGAAGATGGAAACACTCAAATCAACATTTAACACTATATTTGCACTGTGACAACTGAAACCTTTAAGACAAACATGAGTTCTCAGGACAGTCAACATCATTATTCCATTTACAAATGTATTTAATGCACAAATGTAAAGATTTGCACTACACAACTTGTACTGTCAGTTTTTACTTGACGTATATAATGAGAATGATATGATTAAATTAAACAAAGTTCAATAAAAAAAAATCACAAATATATTATAAATATAATTTCATTTGCATCTTTACAGATTAAAACTCTGAGATATGTCACAATGTTTATGATATCAGTTTCTTGATCGTCTGGATCTGATGTCATAAAGCAGAACAGCGACAGTAGCCACGCCCACCAGAGCAGAGACGACCAATCGGATCACAGCTTCAGTAGATCCACAGCAGTGAACATGGACTTCTGAGAGAGAAAAAGCAATGATAAAATAGGATTGTGGTTTTCAACAAGCTGGCTTTGTTTGGAAATTACGCAACATTCATTTATTTCACTTATACTGATATGTTAAGAAGTATACAATACGTGATGTTCAATTAATATTCATATAATTGCTTACTATAACACATGTAATGTGGAACTGCACCACTAGTGGAAAATTGTTGAGTAATGCAGAAAAAGAGAAAGAATAAAGTTGGAAAGTTAGTTGTACACCGCATGGAGTGTGTTCTGTGAAAGGGTGACATCACCACACACTAGAAAGTTTTAGATATGACATGAAATCAGGTCACGTAAGTTCCTGAACAGAAACAAAGGGATGGGATACTCCACCCAAAAATGAAAATTCTGTCATCATTTACTCACCCTCAAGTTGTTGCAAACCTGTACGAGTTTCTTTCTTCTGCTGAACACAAAGGAAGATATTTTGAAGAACGATTGGAACCAATCCATTGATTGAAAAAAAATACAGAACATACAACAACAAAATACCAGAGACGACAACATCATCAGACGCCCACATGTGCTTGTCTTACAGTCTAAACACACTTACGTCATGTCGCATGCACCCGCTGTCTGATTCCAGAACGTCATTTCAGAGCTTGTAACGGAGGTTTGACAACACGTTTCTTTGCAAGTGTGTGTCTGTCTGTACTGTACATTTGAGAGAGAGAGAGAGAGAGAGAGAGAGAGAGAGAGAGAGAGAGAGAGAGAGAGAGAGAGAGAGAGAGAGAGAGAGAGAGAGAGAGAGAGAGAGAGAGAGAGAGAGAGAGAGAGAAATGGGAAAAACGGAATATGTGCTTTTTGGACATAATAAAACATAATTTTGTCTGAAAAAAACATTAAAATATTTTTTTGTTTTTACCTTCTATTGTTTATTTTATATATTTGCTTGTTCGGTGTGGCTGTGGGTTTTGATTATTTTACTGTTGAGGGTTGTAAGGACTTTTGAAAGAACTGAAAACACTTGGCGAAGTGATATTGAACGGTAATGCGGTCAAAACCTGCTTGGATCTACTTTAGCTGTTTCCCTGAAAATAATGTAAGCTTCGGAACGCTCGTCAACCAATCAGATTCAAGCATTCAACAGCCTGGTATAAATCAATGCTATTCTGAACATTCTTTGAGCCTGTCAATCAACATTAGAGCGCCACCCTCAGGCTGAATTATGCAAATACACTAGACATCTACTAAAGTGTGTCTGCATGTTCAGCGGTTATGTAAAACTATAGCGGCCAATCATAAACTAGTGTTACGACACAGAATCTATGTAGTATGTTGAGCCGCTACTGTCAATAAATGTGAAGAACGTAGAAATGATCTGTACTCACCATAGACAGAAACATTGAATGTTTTTGATGACAGTTCAGATGCGATTATCTTTACTTCATAGAGTCCTGTATGTTCAGTTGTGGTGTGTGTGATGGTCAGAGATCCAGTTTGCAGTAAGGGCTAGCGCAAAATGCGGCATCGGCATCTCGAAGCGGCACTTCCGGTGGCATCTCCAGCGGCCATCAGTGCAGCGGCATCTCCAGCGGCCATCAGTGCATCGGCATCTCCAGCGGCCATCAGTGCATCGGCATCTCCAGCGGCCATCAGTGCAGCGGCATCTCCAGCGGCCATCAGTGCATCGGCATCTCCAGCGGCCACCAGTGAGCGGCATCTCCAGCGGCCATCAGTGCAGCGGCATCTCCAGCGGCCATCAGTGCATCGGCATCTCCAGCGGCCATCAGTGCATCGGCATCTCCAGCGGCCATCAGTGCATCGGCATCTCCAGCGGCCATCAGTGCATCGGCATCTCCAGCGGCCATCAGTGCAGCGGCATCTCCAGCGGCCATCAGTGCATCGGCATCTCCAGCGGCCATCAGTGCATCGGCATCTCCAGCGGCCATCAGTGAGCGGCATCTCCAGCGGCCATCAGTGAGCGGCATCTCCAGCGGCCACCAGTGAGCGGCATCTCCAGCGGCCATCAGTGCAGCGGCATCTCCAGCGGCCATCAGTGCATCGGCATCTCCAGCGGCCATCAGTGCAGCGGCATCTCCAGCGGCCATCAGTGCATCGGCATCTCCAGCGGCCATCAGTGCAGCGGCATCTCCAGCGGCCATCAGTGCATCGGCATCTCCAGCGGCCATCAGTGCATCGGCATCTCCAGCGGCCATCAGTGCATCGGCATCTCCAGCGGCCATCAGTGCAGCGGCATCTCCAGCGGCCATCAGTGCATCGGCATCTCCAGCGGCCATCAGTGCATCGGCATCTCCAGCGGCCATCAGTGCAGCGGCATCTCCAGCGGCCATCAGTGCATCGGCATCTCCAGCGGCCACCAGTGCATCGGCATCTCCAGCGGCCATCAGTGCAGCGGCATCTCCAGCGGCCAGGACTTTCCGGTGCAGCGGGATCTCCAGTAATCAATATTTTTTATTTTATTAACTGCATTTTAACTAAATAACATTATGTAGCTACCACAGAGTAGCATATATATCATGTGTAACTTAGCATATCCTTTGTAAATAAAGTTTTGAGTTTCTGATTCTCCATTACATCAGAGAGCTGCAACTGTTCTGAGTAGCCTATTGATACAGGCTAGGTAACGTTATAGGTTTCCAGCAAGAAGTGTCAATCAATATCACTTAATGTTTCAGAAAATGCTGTTTATTAAATTAATTTGAAATGTTATTAAATATGAATATAAACGGTTATTCCGTATACAGAAATGAGTTCCGTTAATACAGAATAGAGAAATGAGTTTCTGATGTGCTGCACAATTCTGAAAT